TGTAAGGTTGTTATTGGAAAGACTATCTTTCTTATGGAAACCTGATGTTTAACTGAATAAAACATCATAGCCTGGTAGAAATAACTTGAGCCTTTCTTAAGTTGTACAGGTAGCTGTAAGAATTTCAAAATGTGACCCTACCCTGAAAAAGTATTGTACAAAAAGCTTCTTGATGTGTCATGGATATTATATTGCCTCCCTGGTTAGCTGAAATGTAATCAATTACAAATAAAGGAAAATGTTTTTTGGTTCCCTTCCTCACTACACCAAGCTTTGTATATTTGAGCTGAGTCCAAAACAAAAAGGTCTTCCTTACCATTTCCTGTCATAAATATTTTTGCAGGCCAACTAATGCCTTCAGTTACCTCTGTGAAACCCTTGGCTTCTAAGGGTTTTAATGCGTCTAACTGTTCCTGGTACTCAGAATATAATAAAAATATTTTGAAAAAGCACATGGCTGAATGGGCTGCACTCACTGCCTCTTAGCTATGTTAGGTCTCCTGAGCTGACAAGACAAAACTCATTTTTGTCACTTATAGCTGTACACTTGAAACTCTGGATACACCTGAAGAGCAGCTCTAATGTGATGGGGTTTTCACAAAGTTGCTTTTCAAACTACAGCCACACTTTCTCTGTTTGCAAAATAAAAGCATTGCTGAAGCCATGCTTTTTAGATTTATTAGAGTATATTCTATATTGGCCAAACCACTAGACCCAAGGCTTCAGTGTTAAAAATGAGATGTTAGAACTTTACCTTTTTATAGGCCAACTCTGCTTGCTCAGATGTTGAACAGTTGACCCAACCTTTAAATTTCTCCTTCATGTCCTTGAGTAGATCATCCATGCAGTCCTGGAGGTAACAGTGATAGTCAGAGGACTCTGTGCTGTTGTTTTGTCCAAGCTCCTCCAAGCTGAGAGGTCTAAGATCTTGCTCTGTATAAGAATTTCGACATCTGCTCATTTCTTCAGGAATCTGGAAGTAGCATAGAGAGAGTGAACTCATACCAAGACACTTTAACCATGCTGTGAGAAACACTGTTTTGAGTCAAAGAACTGAGCAGGGTGGACAGTGTAAGTTTAAAATCCACAAATCACAGTCGCTGTAGTCATCCGAACTTGAGAGTGCCCGTAATCTCCCTCAGACATACAATTACACTGTATGACGACTAACACAGAGCACACAGTTAAACATAGAGCAGTGTACTAATGAAAGACCTGATCAAACACAAAAGGGAAATCTCCAACTGCTGAAAGAAATACTTACACTGTACTTCACTTCCACCTCCTGCAATTCAAAAACAATCCCCAGCCACACCCAGGATCAGAAAAGGTAGTGAATGGGGGTGGGGTGTGTGTGTGTGTTGTACATGCTCACATATTTGAAAAAGAAGGAAAATGTATGTGAAAATTACATATGACCACACTGTAAAAGGATAAATGTAACGTCAAACCCTTGGAAGCTAAGAAATCTCAAAATTAAGATTTCTGATGCAACTTTAACTGTAGCCTGCCTATGCTTGTCCATAATGATATTTTTAAAACTTTTAACTTTATTTAACAAATCTAATTTATCAAATGAAAATTTAACTTTTTAAAGACGCATCAAATACCCCAAAGTACGTGTACATACATACATCTTCTATTAACCCAGGTCAATGTCCACAGATAATTCTTATGTATTTTTTCTTCTCTTTCTTTCAATTTCTGACAGTTACTTTACTTTTTAGTCAATGTTATTCATTTGTGTTTTTCCATCTGTGTGTGTAACCTCCTTAATTCAACCCTTCTTTTTTTTATCAGGACTCTGCCTGATACAAGCTCACTAACATCTATTTAGCTCCTCTTTTAGATTTCAAATAATTTCAAATTTGTTCTTAAATGCTAGCTTGGAGAACTGGCACTTTCCTCAAAAAAGTTTCTCAGGGAGCTGGCAGATGTTCACTTAATGGCACGATGGGAATCTAATCTCAATAATCATACTTCCTGCCACAGCACATGCAATGTAGGAGGCATGACTGGACTGGGGATCGGATCCCAATCATGCCACTGCCAGCAGGAAGCCTGGGGCATGGGTTTACAAATTGAGTGCCACCCCGGCCCCAAACTTGGAACATGCAAGCCCACAAGCTCCCTACTTGAACCTCTTAGCAGGTAGCCTCTCCTTAATGCTGGTGCCCCTGTAGACCTCTGAAAACCAGTGTGTAGCTGGGCTGTGTAAGCCATTTTTACACGTCCCAGCACACACAGATCCTGGGATCAGGAACCTCTCCTTGATACTAGGGATATCTGAAACACCTTGAAGTTTCTTGTTTTGCAGCTCCCCAGAGCTGCAAGGCAAGGAAATCAACTTGGGGCAAAGACCTGGGGCTCCCCATAACCCAGCATTATAAAGGGCCTTGGTTCCACAGCACTTGGCTGCCTCAGCCCCTCTCCTGACCCCTATCCCAATGCTGATGTTGACAGTCAGCTAATCATCAGCATGGGCATGCTACATATTCAAATTATGGCTCCATACAAAAAAGCCACAAAGATGTTCCACATAAACTGTGGAATATCTTTTTTGTCAATTGGCCACTATGTCACCATAAATCAGCTGAATGTGTGGTGCTACTACTATTTATGATGCAATTAACACATTCATTATGCCTTAAATATTATATGTGCCAGAGGTCTTACTGGTTTGGAGGTGGGAGAATATTCTCTCACCAAAATCTAAGAATTTCCACCAAAATACTAAGCAAGCACCTTTTTTCCCTTCTACCCTGTAGAACAATGACTTGAGAAGTCAGTTTTCCCAAAGTTTTTGAAAACAGTTAGTGATTTTAGGAGTGCCATTCCTCTTCCAAGCAAATGTAATTTTTCAGCCACTAGAAGCTATGCAATCAATTCTATATGACTTATGTTACAGAGTTCTTGGGAAGGTTCGATAAAAACCTTAAGGATTTCTTATTATTTCCCTTACCATGTCTTGAGCCATTTTACAGAACATTTTGATTCTGGGACATATTCCCCATACGTGGTAAAATACAATATTATTTCATTACCTTATCCTGTTATTCTTTATATAGGACCCTTGCCTCATTCAGGATCGAGTGAACTATGCTAGTTGAGGAGCAGCTGTTCAATACTTTGTTCAGTTTGATATGTGGTCACGTGCTGTATTTACTACTGCACACTGGTCAAAACCCTGCTATGAAGACCACATTGGCTACTCCAAGATTCTTATCACTGGAAACAACTGTGCTTCAGCTAATGAAGACTGCTGTGAAATGCAGTAAGATCCTATGTCACAGATAGGACCAAAGCCACTGACACATTCAGTCAAAACTATTCTTTAGCTCTGGTTGCCTAATTTGAGATTGGATCTCTGCAAAAAAAGAAGCAGCAATTTGAACATTCACAGTTTCATAGTTTCATAGATTTAGGGCCGGAAGGGATCTAGTAGATCTTCTAGCCCGGCCCCCCCGCCAGGGCAGGAGAACAAAAAAACCCCAAAACAAAAATGGGACTCAAATGAGTCCAGCCAGGTAGGCATCCAGCCTCTTCTTAAAGACCCCCAGGGTAGAGGCCAGCACCACTTCCCTTGGAAGTTGGTTCCAGCTCCTAGCCGCCCTAAC